ATGGTTCAGATCTGAGGAGAGGTGTGATTTCTTATGGTAAGACAGCATGTTTTTTGTGCATTTTTTGAGCAGTAGAAACATGTGCAATTAATTAAAATATATATGTTTAATGCATACTGTGGAACCACTAACATTGCCATGGACACAAGCAGGTAGTGGACCTCCACCAGAAAACGTATAGTGCACCTTTAAGGATTTGATTGTGAGATAAGAGGACCCTAGCTGCAACCAAGTAATTATCTCTTTGTCTATTTCATGGTGCCTCGATAACTCAAACACCCACTAGTACATCAAGTTGTTTATTTAGCTAAATATTTCAGATAAGTTTTGAAGCCAGTTATGAAGAGATTAGGACTAGGGTTGTCAAACTCAATACTAAAACTAGTATCAAAACAAGATACTCATTTGAAGTATCAATTCACAGGACAGAAATGAACCTTCCCTGTGGCTTTAGAATGATCTTGACTTGTATCAGACCACTATCGAACACTACAGTATGGCAATATAAAGTACTATTATTTAATGTTGAAAATCTAATTCTATTGTCTAAAGAGAATCTGATTTTAAATGGTATTGAGCATCGAGTATTGAAAGTTTAATATTGAAGACTAGAGCTAACACATACCATATAACATACTAAACATGACTTGCATTATCTACACCTGTAACACTCCATCAGCTTTCCATCAACTTTGCCTATCTACATGCACTTCCCTTTGTCCTGGTGCCCCTTCTTCCATTCACCATCACACAGCCTGCATCTAGTCATGAAAGAGAATTTTACGCTTTTCTCCTTCCATTTAAGCTCTGCCAGCACTAACCCATTGTGCTGTGATGTTCCTCTCAGGCAAGAGGTCTAAATCAGGCAGAGGAAGACGGGGGAGGGATGGGAGGATGAAGGCAGGAGCGATGAAGGGATTTGAGGAAGTGAGAGAAAAATGGAGGGTAAGGACTACAAGGGGGAGGGGTGAGTCAAGTGGTACAGAGAATGTGACAGGGAAGTAGTGTGGAAGATATATATGAATAAGCAGACAGGGCTTAGCTTGATGCCATGAATGCCTAGAAAAATGTGTCCTCAAATCTGACCTTTGACTTTTGCTGCTGCCAGTGTTTGTCTCTCCCTGATGTCCTCAGTGTTCTCTTTTGGTTGGGCTTTGTCTCATATATCATACACGTTCTTCTCACTGTAAGAAGGTTATATAGCTCTATTTCTGTTCTAATTTTCAGAGCTACTTTGATTAATGCAGCTGTACTAGATGGGAGAATGATCATGAAAGTATTAATTCTGAAAGCACAATGACACAGAGCCAGAAATGAACATCTTTAAACTCAGGTTAACACATTGGCAGCCACATTGCAGATAAGAAAGGCCAGGGGCGCTCTAATATACTACTACTACTACTACTACTACTACTAATAATAATAATAATAATAATAATAATAGCATTACTTTGACATTATATGGCTAAGTATCACACTCGATGGTGCCACAGCTGCCCTATAGGGCTGAATGATGCCACTGCCAATCTGTGGTAACAGCCACTCTGACACAGCCTCTCTAATGACTAAGTCACACGCCACATTCACACAAGCATGGTGGGTAAATTGTTTGCATTGGCTTTTCATGTGAATTATTCATTTATTTTGCCAAATGATACACATATTAAAATACAAGTTTTCTTGCCAACTGACAACAGATTGGTTCCCGTAAACACCAAAGACAAAAAAGTTAACTATGATAACAACCTATGCGTGGTACTATCATTTTGCCATATTGTACTGCTGTAATTTCAGCCAGTGTAGTTCTTAGTATGGTTTGGTTCAATTGGGTCAGTTCCAGTTTCAGAGAAGCTATAGGCCATGTTTGTGTCTTTTATCCATTAATAAACCTCCCTTAGAGTTGATTGAGTCATTCAGTTTTCATTTTTGATTTATCCTGTCAATTTCTGCCTTCAAGACCAAGATTACAGTTTGGATGGCAGCTGTTGTGTGACATCTCTGACCAGTTTGTGTTCTTATTTTCAGTTCACACTCAATTTAACAGCCTATTTCAGACAATCCTCTGAACATTTGTGCTTCAGCTTCTTTGACTTCTGTTAAAAGCATTTTTCTTCTGCGAATGTCGTCACAGAGTGTGTCTCTTAGCAGCTTGTTTTCACAGCTCACATGCCAATGTATAATTTGGGTAACAGTGTGGGTCTTCATTGCTACTTACTGAATTTCTAATTTGTCTCTTAAGTGAAAACATTTGGACATCAAATTCATTAGAACTTCCTTATTATAGAAAAGATGTTTATTACATAGAGGAAGAAATATATTCTCCTATTTTTGTGCTATCATCACCTCAGTGATGCCAAGAGGAGGTGGTGGGTGCTTCATCACCTTCACAATTAATATAATAAGAATCGTGATCCATTGCAGATAGATAATATTAAAAGCTGATTTACATATACATGTGCTTTCAATAGCAATTGGTAACTTCTAAAGACAAAATAAACAATACTCTCTAAATTTTGCTCAAATTAATTTCTTATAGTCCTTCTCAAAATCTCCTTTTAAATTGTTTTTGAGTTGAAAACCAAATCATAATTTCCAAACTGGATATATCTGGCAGTATCAGGTTTGTGTGTTTTGTAAGAGAAGAGGAACACATCCTCATCTTGATTTTTGATGTTCACCAGAGGGACAGTTTCCATGCTGACATGCTGTGCAGTCTAACACCTCCTGGACAGCCTGCAGGGCATCAGGCTACTTGTGCCCTGTGGGGCGTACTCTGAACCATATGGTATCAGTACCTGTCACTGTAAAGCCCTATTTAAAGTAACTTCAACACACAGGCCACTAAGCAGGTGACACACAAGAGTCAAACTTCTGTCAGGATTACTGGACTATTTTGTCAGCACAGGAAGGAAGCACCACATACTGCTCTCTGTAAAAAGCAATATTCCACTTCATTTTAATGGGGTCAGGGCTGTCTGAGTGCACATTGTTTGCTGCGGGGCACACTCATTGGAAAATGTAATTTCTTGTCAGAAGAAACAAAGGTGTAACATTCGATAGCTGAGGATCAGTGACTATGAATGATGGTGAATTAAAATCCACATTTCAGCCTTACACACAATATTCTGCTTTCTATATGGTCTGCCCCTCTTAACACCATTCATTTGCCCATGACAGTGTGAAGGTGTAAGTGGTGCTTGGAAAGCAGGGCTGAATCATGGATGTGCAAATGGGGCATTACATGAAAAAAAAAAAAACTTTTCTGGATCCTTTCTTTTTCAAATGGCTACTAGAATATATATATATATATATATATATATATATATATATATATATATATATATATATATATATATACTATATAGGCAGGTGAGTCATTCTATACTTGATATACTTGACAAGAAAACTAGGAACAATACCTTTACATACTGAGTACCAGCTGTATTATAACTATAATGCTGTGTGCATGGTACGCTCCATCAATAAGCTTATGGATGAGAGTAATAAACATCATCTTGGATTAAATGCTCCCGCTGGTACCTGCTCCATAGTGCACCTGTAGTGAGGGCTCAGTTATAATCCTAAAACGAAATGAGTGAGGGCTGGGATGGCAGCAGATCCCATGGCTGTGAATATGAATAGTCAGGATTTAATAGTGAAACATGCTGGTAAGGCAAATTCCTTCTTTTATTCAATTTCACAGATTATAGCTTTGATTTTGTTCATTTCAGCCTTCTCACAGGTGGCTGAAAGTGTGAGACAAATGCATATGTTTGCAGGACCAAGCTAAGCCATATGACAAAAAAGACACTAAGATCCCTCACTCCTGATGCACAGGGACCAAAAAAACTAGGTCAGTCTTGGAGTCAGACTGCTGCGAGGATCAGGATGCACAGGTTGTTGACTGGTGATTAAAGTATTCACACACACTGAATGTCGAGAGTATTCCACAGTGAGGAAAATGTCTCACAAACATGAGTCTTATTTTTAGAAATACGATTTTGCAGCTACACATGTCGTCACTGTGTCGTCACTAAGCAAATCTGAGGAATTATTCACTCATGAAACATTAAAGTAGCCTTTAGGCCCATTTACATTTATGAAGCACCCAGTTATGGTAGCAACAGACACGTGCCTCATAGTGACATGGCTATGTAACAGGAACCAAAAGTTCTAATTTTAGAACAAGCTCCTCGCATCATTCCTGAAACCATAAGGCTGCAGCGTATTCACGCACTACTTGACTGTGATTCGTGCAGCTGCCAGATTGCTATATTGCATGGTGAGTCTTCTGCTCAACAAAACATCAGAAGACAGTGGACGCATCATTTATCATTTACACAAATAAATGTATAAAAGAGACTCCATTCTAGGGCCACGGGAATCTCAGCGGAACTTTCCTGGTTTATCAGAAATCTACAAAATGGGTTGTAACAATCAAGTTATGTGTCTGAACTGACAAGCAACCATTTGACTCAGTTGCAATCAAGGGCTGTTTGTAGACAAACTCAGCTCGCTTCATGACCCTTATAGAGACGCCGTCACCATACCCAGGAGACGCTGTAGGCATGTCACGTGTTGTTTGTCTTCGTCCCCGGAGCCCAGTCACAGCACAAATCAGACGGCGAATCACTGGATCCCGTGCAGCTCACAGTGCAGGCGCGCGCCCAGTCGGCTAGTGCTGGGATTGGGCAAAGGGAGGGAGCATCGCGCGCGGACGGAGCTACGGGATTGGTAGAGATGAGCGCCAAACTTGTTGACTCATAACGGAGCAGCTCCTCTCATCCTTCACGCGCGGAGCTGTCCAAGTCCAGTGGTGCTGAACCTGTCTCTTTCCAACGGGCTCTTGGATTTATACTTTCCATCATTTGAAACTTCTATGTCTTTATCAAGCCCAGCCTTGCCCCCTCTTTAAGTGGCACTTTCTTTCGAGTGTTTCTTTACAGCGACCTCACAAGTTCAACTTCTTCGAGGAAGTGTAGGAATCTCTTGAAAGAGCCATGGCATTTATGGTGAAACACGTGGTGGGCGGCCAGCTGAAGAACCTGACAGGCGGACTGACAGAGGAAAAAACCGAAGCGGAGAAGTCTGACGCGGCCGCTCACGGCATGACTCCAGAAGAATTTGAGCAGTACCAGCAACAGTTAGAGGAGGAGAAGTAAGTAACCACTCTATCAGAGAACTGTTTTACTGTAAAATAATAATAATAATAATAAAAATAAAATAAATAAAAAAATCAACAGTGTTCACACTAAAACCGCATAATGATGAGATGTTGTGTTCAAAGCGCACCGTTATTGGTAAAAATCAGACTGCGCACGGCACGGTGCGCGTTTTTCACGCTTCATTGCAATAATGCGAGCGCTCCATGCACAGCTGCTCCACTCGCTCTGGGAGCTCTACATCTCTCAACGCAAGCAAATTATGTAGCCAGTTTCCCTTGTAATTTGGCATTCCTAAGATTCTAATAGGATTCCCATTTGCTTTCACATAAGTTTGCGTGCGTTTGAGCATTTACGTTGGCAATAGTTAAATTTTTGTCCATCCCAGTGTAAGTGAATGATGCGATGATTATCTGAAACGATTACAAATGCATTTTATGAGGTGGGAAATAGTCAAGATATCCGTTCTGTCCTAAACACTGAAAGTTAACTAGGCTATAGCCCAAGTAGTAGCCTACATGTTTATGTTTATGTTTATGTTTATTAATAGCTGTCAAATAGTTTCAGTCTTTTGACAAGCACACTCAATTGCATGTGTTTCCCCAGCTGTGTGAGGGTTAATTAAATCTTGTCTATTAGGATTTGAACTTTGATTATTTCTTGTCCCCTGAGACAAATGGAGGACATGCAATGGACCTTCAGTTCATTAGCAACAAGGTCATCGGGCAGAGTTCAGGCAGTACTGATTATTGATTGGCTGATTAAGTCCTAAGAGGTCACGAAGTCTATTTGTGTAGTGCTCATTCTACATTCAACATACAATTACTTGCAATGGCAGTTACGCTATTACAATCGGCTGTGTGTGTGGTTAACGCTCTCCAAGGTGCTTCATTGTTTGGATTTAGTGTTCAGCATGAGTAAGAAGTGCAAATCAAACCCTGGCAGCATCATGCTCACAGCACTGAGCTCTATGGGGGGCAAGGCATGACGCCCATAACATGACCTTCAGTGGAAGTGAGTTATTAGTCAAAGGTGCTAAACAAGGGTGCACATCACTAAATAGCCCATTGTGCCCTGATAAAGCACTGGAGGTTGGGGGTGGGATGCCTGTACCGCCATGTCACAGAGAGACATTTTATCACCCTCCACACCAGGCTGTGCTGACAACTGGTCATCTGATGCCCTTGAGAGGCCTTTTTTCATTGGCCACAAGTCGGCATGGTCCTTTAACTGTACGTTTGTAGACACACCAGGCTCTAGGCTTCTTTATGTTAATGTGCACAACAGTTTGAAACAACAGCCTAGATATAGACGACCTTCTATTGAGAGAACACTGTGTAACCAACACTTGTGTGTCCCCTTGGCTCAAGATTGTGTTACCGATTTGATATTTTGGGCATACACGATCGTTATTCATAACATGGCTGAAATGTATTGTTAAGCATTATATTAAATATTAAGATCATATATAAGATATCAATATGTCAAAACAAATTAACTCCAAAATTTGGTTGGTAGTCAAAAAACATGGCCTCTATTGGATATTTCAAATGTTTGTGGTCTGGATCACCAAACAAAAAACCCAAAGATAACATGGATATTTCAATGAAAGAACATAAGCATACCTAATGAATAGATGTTAAATATTTTCTTGGACTTACAAGTGGTCACTTGGGAGTAAGTGTCCTGGTTAAATAACACCCATTAATGATCTTCCATGAGCACTCTGGGTTTACAAAGATAAACCTTAGTTATAGAGATACTGTATGCAGGTGGTGCTTGGTTGTATGTCAGCTCGCTGTAATTTGTGGACTGCTAGTAGTTCATATCCCTTGGAGAAAATGGAAATTATGTTTTTGCATCTCCAACTCATTGTAAATTATTGTATTGTAATGCTGTATTTTTCATTTTCAACATCTGCAATGTGCCTGTATTGTATTTTTGTTTGATTCTGCTGTGTTACCAATTTCCTGGAAAATATTACATTTATAGTACAACCAAATCTGTTTTCTTCCAGAAAGGAACGAGAAGCCCATTTTGCTCAAAAGAAAGCTGAGAGGGCAACAGTTCGAACTCATTTCCGAGAAAAGTACAAGTTACCCAAGGTAACAGGGGTATCTTGGTTAATTAATTTTATATATATAAAAAAAACAAAAACCTCTTGACCCCTAATCCTGTCTTTTTGTATGTTTTCACCTTTAGAATGAAAATGATGAAACCCAAATACAACAGGCAGGAGATGACATTGAGCTTCCCCAAGAGCTGGCCAAGATGATCGCAGAAGATAACCAAGAGGAAACCCACAAGCAGTCTGTGCTGGGCCAGCTGTCCAATATTCAGAATGTGGACATCGACCAATTGAAAGACAAAGCCCAGGCCACACTGGAAGATCTAAAAAAGCAGACAGAGAATTGCAGTCTCATGTGATTTGGCAACAGAAACACTCTCTGATGATTACAGATTTAGTTGTATAAATATTTATTTCTTCTCTCAGAGGCAAAGCTGCTCACAAGGTGGAAATACTCTAGATGCCTTAGCGGAAGTTACTGGAGCCAAATAATGTTTTTTTCTTGCTGTGCACAATAAGACTGAAGCCATATAGGAAGAGGCATAATACAATGTAGGGCATACCATTTAATATGTTTAGCTTTTCAGCAGCTCATTTTCATACTGTGTCAATAACACTTACCCACTTACATGTGAGGTGTTTCTGATCTTAGGAGCAGTTTCTTCTCTGATACTCAGTCAGTCCTTTGTCCAAATGTATCCCTCTCTATGCCTCACAAAACCAGTATTACAATTTTACAAACTCTGCAGCAGTCTCATGTGTATGTTAAAGCTACTGAGGTAGTTATCTTGGGTCAGCGAATTCATTAACCAGTGGGATGGATTTGAAACATCTACAGTACCAACAGTGGGGAAGTCATTAGTTTAGTTCAGTTGGAACCTCGTTACATTAATTATAATACTGTTCAAAGCACAATATAAAGACAGCAATATTCAGTCAAATAATAGCAGTTTTTGCTACTGTGTAGTTCCGCTAGTTATATGGGGATTTTAGCTTTTCTGTACTTCAGTGTGCCTTGGACGTCTGTGCAAGGTTGTAGTTCAAGATCTACAAACTATATGCTGCTACCAGCAATATCAGGCCCTTTGATAATCTTTAATGAAGCCTTGGTCATTTTTTAAGCAACCACACTTTTGTTACTTTATCAACAGTTGGTAATATAAAATTACAGGGTTTATAGGCATCATTATAGATTCTTATGTGTTTGTGTAGTGCTGAGTCAATGAAAAGGACAGGCTGCTCTTAACAGGACATGTGTTAGAAGCCTAAGGCTTTTGTTAAAACACTAAAAGAAAGGAAAGAGCACAAGTGTTATGTAAATGCAGGTGTGTGAATACAAGCAGCAAATCCATTTATACAGTTTTGCTGTGTATTGCGTATATCTGGTTGCTTATTCTATCTGCAAACTGATCTGGCTCTCCAGATCATGTACTGTTGCTGTCCTCTTCCTGGCCCCTACTCTGTCTTCATTGACCCCTGTGTCTCTGTGGTGCCGTTCAGTGCTTGTGGATTTGTGCTAGCCCATATGAGCTGTCAGTAGAGTCGCTGTGAAATGTGTCCTGTGACTCCGAGTGCTGTCAGTAATGATGGTACATGGTCACTCCCCTTGGCGTGCTGTCCGTGTATAGTCTCAAACATGTAAATTACTGCAGTGATGTATAGGATGCTGCTACTGTTTTTTTTTTGTTTTTTTTGTTTGTTTGTTTGTTTGTTTGTTGTTGTTTTTTTGTTTGTTTTTTCATATTATGCTACATTTTGCTATTCACATTCACACTAGTTTGTTTTCTTCAGTTTGAGTTTGTATGTACAGTACAAAATACAACAGGTTTTTTAAAGTTTTGTCATCATTTTTTTTGGTTTCTGTGTCCTGGGTGCCATGTAACTGAATGACTGAATTAATATTATATTATTGCTGTGGGTGTTAGTGATAAAAAAGAAAAATATAAAGAATTTGAATAAATTCTTTAAAGATAAAGTCACTCATGTATAATCATGCGACTACAATAAAGGTTGGAAAAGAAGCCATAAAGCAAGTCTTTGCTTTGTACGAGTGTGAAATATAATCAGTATTAATTACTGTTGTATTTGTCTTGTCATCCTGTAAACCAGAAATTTAAGGAATTGGCTGCCAAGACACGTCATTTCCTCCTGTGTTTGTTTCTTTTTCAATGCTGTTTAAATATTGAAGTGTATATTGCGTTAAAGTTGCAATAAACCTATTTTTAGGATCATACATCTACTTTCTTTGTTCCACTGTCACCACTGCTTGTTCTTCTACTTAAACACCAGATGGAGACATTTGTACATTTACATTTTCACATCTGAATAGAGATGATTACCCCAACACTCCATATTCACAAAAAGGCAAGAATGACGTCAATGTATATCAAAGAAGCGTTAGATAACATAAAGGTACATTTTACAGCACAAAAGAAGTATTATATGGATGATGAATGTTGAGAGTAACCATAATGCTTACAATCTCAATCTCAGTCTCAATCTCAATATATATATGTATGTGTGTGTGTGTGTGTGTGTATATATATATATATATATATATATATATATATATATATATATATATATATATATATATACATACATATACATATATATACATATACATATATATATACATATATATACATATATATATATATATATACATACATATACATACATATATATATATATATATATATATATGCATTAAAATGGTAGAAGAGTCTCAGCTAGGTTGGTCTCAGCTTGGTAGTTTCAAGTGTGTTGTGAAAGGGTTTAGCTGTAAACTATATTGATGCTTAAACCCTTCCCCATTGATAGGCCTTAGTGCGTGAACAATCTTCATCTGAAGAGACACCGGGCCATTGCATGGCCAGTCTGACACTGACACAATGGAGGTGAAACGGGCCAGAAAATACTATTCTCTGCCATTCTTGTCCATCAATCAGGGCTTAATGCTATGCAGAAAGACTGGCAGGAGGTATAAAGGGGAGAAATCGGCAATTAACATCTTTAAAACTAGCACAGAAATGTGGACGATTGCATTTCTTTTTTTAAATGTAAAGTTTACGTGTAGCATCTACGTTATGATTATGCTATGCAGATGTGAACTTATGGCAGTGGAATCCGTCGTACAACCCCCTCTTCATCCACTCTGCGTGCATTGCAAAAGACCACACAGATTCTTAAAAAAACAAATGATAAACATTTTCATCTTGCACATCTTGTCATAAGTGGAAAGGATTTGTTCGCCCATGTGTCCGCTTCGGGCCTCGGAATGGGACACACGGTTGACTCCTGTATGAATGACGACCAATCACTGGCCAGAATTGTAAATGAGAGCCAGAGAGGGGGGAAGGAAAAGTTTTCTTTCTTTTTTCAACAGAGGGAGGGGTGTTGTGGGGAAATGTTCGGTGGACCGTGAAGCGTAACAGCAAGAAAGAGGACAAAGACGCACATAGCGGGACAGAATGAGAGAGAGAGACATTTTAGACTAAAATCACGGAACGCGCAAACAGCGGTAAGCGCTTGGGAAAGCAAGACTCGAACTTTGAAACAACTATGGCAAGAAAGAAGAGTTCCAAGAGGGTTGTGGACGATAAGCGTGGTTAAGTGTGCGAGTTAACTTCGGACAGCCCCGAGGGGCATTCATTTTGGAGTCTAACAGACTCCACTGCTGGCCTGAAGGAGCGTAGAAGGCTGTTGCAATTGATCGGGATGGCCGTTACTCCGTTACGAGTCTTTTCATCAAATGACAGTGAATGCCAAACTTCAAGGTACTTATTGTAATTTTTCTGCACCGCTCAATTTACAATATACTGGTATGAGCCAAGTTTAATGCTCCGCAAACTGCACTTCGGAGACGCTCATTGTGTAAGTTGCTCTAATGTTTTGCTGATCTAAGTTCATGTAAAAATGAGATGGTGGTGTAGCGCCCTGGCCCTACTCCCATGGGTGCTCATGGCAATGGACGCCCAGTTTATATGCTGGCAGGCGCTGCTCCGGTGCCATGAGGAGCCCGAATGTGAGCTTGCATACAGTCAGTACTTGGCGGCGTGTGAGGGCAACCTCCGAGGAACGAGGCAGCAGTGCCCGAGCCACTGTATAAGTGCACTAATCAGACTGAACCACACTCGCAACGGACCGGATCTGGAAAGCTGCGACTGCGCCCAAGACGCGGAGTGCGTAAAAGCAAAAAGGGCCATAGAGCCATGCCTTCCCCGCAGACACCCTAGTGACGCCGGAGGTATTGGATGCATGGAGGCCCGACAACGCTGCGAAGAGGACAGCAGCTGCCACACCTCCCTCACGGCCTACTTGTCATACTGCGGCCAGCTGTTTAATGGCAGGAAGTGCTCCTCCAAATGTAAAGCCACCATTCAGCAGATGCTCTTCATCCCAAATGGCATGCTGCTAAACCGCTGTGTTTGTGATGGGGTGGAGAGGCCCTTCTGTGAAGTGGTTAAGGAGAACATGAGCAAGCTCTGCTCTATAGGAGATCAGAGTGTAATTTCAGATCAGCCTGATGTAGAGGACATCTACGAGGACGAGGACTATGATCCTAAAAGTGACAGAGAAGAGGCGTATCTGGACTACTCGTCTGCTGCACATACACTGCCTAACTGTGTGACTCTACTAGTTCCATATTTAGTATGGATTTATTAAAGACAGTTTCTGTTCTTCGACCCTGCTCAGTGCACTCTGGATCTTGTAGGGATTTGGCTCAGAACTCTAAGCAAAGCATCAAAGCATTTCTGCTGGATACAGGACATGATTTTCTTCAGCCCTGGGCCTCTTTTCTATTCAAGTATCACTCTGTTGTGAGCACAGTGGCAATTTATTTAGGCATTACACAGCCATACCAATTGTATAGCATTTTGTCTTGCACATAAGTCTCAGGAAAAGTGTTGTATTTTGTATTACCCTGGTAGAACTATGAATACACTTTTCCCAAGCAAAGTAAATTTGGTTGCCAACCTCAACCCACAGTAAGGGCAAATGTACTGCCACTTTTGGTGTTTATTTGGTTTGCTGTCAGCGGCCTGGTGCTTGGAGTTTGACTTTATTAAGACCTTAGACAAACATCGGACACATCCAGGCTGTTTGCTTTGCTCTCCATTTGGTGGGGCTGGGCATTGTTGCAGCAACCACACTTCAAATATTTGTGGGAACAGTCAAAGGACAGGCGAGGGTGTGGGATCAAGTACTTAAATTAACTAAAGCGCCTCTCCAGCTCTCTGTCTGGGGCCCATCCCCCTGCAAGATTGTTTTATTGAAGTTTTCCTGGACCCTCGTCCTCCTCCCTCCCGTGTGCCCCCTGCCCCTGTGCCTTTAAAACACCTCTGTTTTTATTGCTGCTTTCACACCAAAGCAGCGGCCCAAAACAACTTGTTGGCTGCTGCTGGTGAGAACTAAATATTTCACATGTAGCATTTTTCTAAACAGAAAACAAGTAATGGTTAACACAGTTTTTGAATGGCCAATGTTGTATTAGAAGTTTACAAAGAACCAGTCTCTTTAAAACTCTGCCTACTCAAGAACTTTCTTGAAAAAAACAAAACAAAACATGTGAACCAGGTTATGACTAAAAGAGACCAGATGTGCGGCATTAGCTCCACTCACTTTTTCTCAAAACCCCAGATTGCATTACTCTTCAATTGTTGATGCCATTTTTATTGTGGCTGAAAAGAAATGCTATATTTTGTAGGCAGGCTGCCATTTGGTAGTTTAAAACCCTTTCAATGCTGGACATTATTGAATGTTAACTTATGAAGCTACAATATGAAGAATGTGTAAATATATTTGAAGTTATGCAGAAATAAGCATTTGTCTGACCACTGTACATTGCTGCACTGTACATTGTAAGGACATAACATCATGATTTTTGAAATTTTTACAAATTTGAAGTGCCTGACGAGACACTATGTTTTATAATAAAATGTTCATGACATAATTTGTGTAACAGTTTTTACTATTATACATGTTTCTTTCATGTTGCATTTAAACTATGTTACTCATATTCTAAAACATAAAAGCAGGCTTCTATGCCATTGTATTGTGTCACCAAACGTGTTTTAGTCTGCTCTAACAAATAAGTAAAAATATGTGTGCAACAGTACTATATATTAACCACTAGAATGGTTAAATGGCAAACCAGCCAGTCTCCAGCTTAATTCTGGCATCAGAATCTAAATAAACACATGAAGAGAGGTCTTAGGTAATGGAGGACCTTAGTGGGATACAGAGTGGTACAGAGGCACCTCTGTGCTGGAGCCCATTTTCTAAATGATCTAAGTATTTTTCTCAAACAAATCCGTAACTCTTTTCAATGTTTGAGAGTAGGAGTGACCTGAGGATTTACGCAGCCCTTGTCTCTCACAAGTACAATGTTCCATTCATGATAGCCATCTAGCTACAATGAATGGCTGACCCAATCTGAGTTTGGGGGAGAGATGGGGGAGAGAACCCAGAATCCATAACACAGAAAAGGTCTTTATGGATGAGGTTCAATGCCCAAATGGATAAGTGCTTACTAGGAAACAAGGGCACTGAGAGACGACACTGGAGCTGCAAAAACAGAGGCTGATTAAAGCCATGATGTTGTAGTTGGTGGTCAGGCAGAGGAGACTATGGGCGCCTTGATCATGGGATAGGAGAGGTTTCCATTTTAGATTCTTTCTATTTAGTTGTGGGTTGAGACTCTACAGATATAGAGTCTTTGCTTTTTGAGGGTAATATAAATTGGCGGAACTCCCAGAAACAAGCAACAAAGCAGGGGAAAAAAGGTCAAATCTGAATCCAAAGTTTCCTGGCAGCAAAATGTTCATGTCATAATGAACAGAAAAAGGCTGAACCAACAATGTGAGCGCTCAAACCAATTATAGCCCCCTCCGTCCCTCACACACACTGAGCGGCTCTGCTACTCTGGGCTCAGGGAAAAGGCCCCTCTGTTCGGTTGTACATTCCGGCACTGACTTACACCTGGCAGGGCAGGTGTGCACCATTAGTGAACCGCTGCAGCCAAGAGAAAACACTTTGCTCAAATGAAATGTTCAACTTAGATTGACTGCAGAATTTTAATAGGACTGTGTGTAATTTGGGTGTGTTCGAATGTTTAAGTTAACAATAATGTGCTATATTTGTTTAGTGTACAGCTTTGTAGAAACAATCAACTGTATTTTTAAAGAACTAATAATGATGAAAAAAAATATATATCTGTATATATCTATATCTATCTATCTATCTATATCTATCTATATATCTATCTCTATATATCTATCTCTATATATATCTATATATACCTATATCTATATATCTATCTATATCTATCTATATATCTATATCAATCTATCTATATATCTACCTATATCTATCTATATATATATCTATCTATCTATCTATCTATCTATCTATCTATCTATCTATCTATCTATATATATATATATATATATATATTTGAAGTACACTTTATAAGTAAGGATAAGTTTGAAATGTCCTTACTTTCCCTTGTCTACCATTCTCTCCTCCCTTATGGACACATGCCAGCATTCTTCCCCACTGCCCTGCCAAATGACGACGATGGCCAGTAACAAACAACATTCAGACTATATCTTCCCATTCACATTCTAGATGAAAAAACAGCATTTGTGAAAGCATAATTGTAGTATACAATTTTATTTTAAAATAAATACACTGTAAAAAACAAACAAAAAAAACACACAACTGTACAAAATGTCAAATTAAAATTTCAGCAGCGAGGGCACCCTGCCTGGACAAACTTTTTTGGCTCTTGTTACTGTACTGTCAGTTATAAACCACACTCTGTATAACTTTTACATTCACAATGTAAAATGTTTCAATGTAGTACAAATCATACTTGCACTCTGCAACACTGTCCCTCTGTCCATTTCACAGAAGTTAAAATAAGCCAGTTTGATAAGAGAATCATTTAGTGTGTCCCTTTTTAGAACTAGTGCCAGATGGAGAAAAAAAATCCAGTCTAGTTTTACCCTCAAAGTGGTGAAGAGGGCGGCATCAGTGGCCAATGTGCGGTGAGCTTGTGGTCAACCCAAAGCAAAGGCAGCTAGTATGTGATTGTAAACTGAAGCAGTAATCTCGAAAATTACAAGAAAAGATCAAAAGTTAACCATCATCTGTTTGCATATTTCAGTCAAAGTAAACATTTCCTTACCAGTTACCAAAAGCAATCATTGCATTCCATATTAATGAAAACAGTAGTTTACACTTTACAGTATCATTTCAGTTCACTATAATCTCTATATTTCCAAGTCAAGACAAAATACATCCTTGGCCTCTATGTTGGTTTACCCTGACAGCGATGTGCTATATATTGGCGCACAAGCTTTTCTGCATTTTCATATGATCGAGGCCAGAATGAGGTGATTCAGATTTTTCAATACAACAGAATAGCATTCAAGTTTCACAAATCCACAATTTAAGAGCTAATTATGGAAGTCATGTTTTCCCTTAATAAGAATAAACACTGCACCAGCCAAAATCATGTAGAGAAAACATTCCACATGTAACCAAAATATGAGTCACTTAGCTTTAACGTGTGAACGTGTTAAGGTGCATAATTATTTGCCAGCCAGGTGAATGTCTGGCTCCATGTCAAACCTTTTTCCAGATGGGCGGGGCGTTATTCTCATAGTTGTTAGCATTCACTCCTCCTTGTCTATTGTAAACAACAAGCTGGAAAAGAAAAAAGAAAAAAAAAACACTATTGATTGTTGTGCATTAATTTAAATGGGATGAACAATTTGAACAAGCAACATTTCTGACTTATTTTAAATATATAAGTGGATTCTAAAATATATTAATAAATCTTCCTTAAAACTCTGTTTTGTACAGCTGTTGTTGGTTCCATCCCAAGGGTACGACTAACTGCAATGTGGTCTTTATTAAAGTAACAGCAGGGGAAGGACACACCATTCTTCATACTTGATCAATCCCTAGAGTCATCCGTACCCTTCATTTACTCCCCTTCATGAAAATCCTCTTAACTTGCCATTTCCCCTGCAGTGTCATTAAGAACAGAGTAGACATTTTGGTAACTAATGTAGAGTTGGTTTGAGTCACAGCAACTTTAAAGGAACTGTATGTAAGATTTTGATTTAAAATTTCATTAATTTAAACTATCCAGATATGAAGTAAACATGTTAAAATATAGCTTTTACTGGTAACAATTGTAATGTTGATTCATCGTTAATTACAAAAACATCAGTGGCCAAACCTACTTGTCAATGACTGAACTCTTTAGATTTTAGAAGTTAAGCCTTGGATAGTACTTGGATGCGAGACTGCTGGGAATGCCAGTGGGAAATAACTGATGTTGTGTCCTTAGGCAAGAGACTTAATTGACATTGCCTAGTATGAATGTAGTATGTGAGTGAGTGATGGTGTTAATCAGGCAACTGTAAAGGGACTTTGAGAGTGTCTGGAAAAAGCCCTATAAAAGACAAATGTAGTAATAACAATAATAATAATAATAATAATAGGGCTGGGCAAATTTATATATTTTTTAAATCGCGATTAATCGCATGAGTTCGAGCGATTAATCGCGATTAATCGCATGTTATACGCAAAAACCAATTAATGAATTAAAAAGTAGAGTATAGCACTCTTTTATTGGAAATGTAAATGAAAGAGCCATACATTTGTTGTGCAAACAGCATTTCTTTCACAGGGGAACCCTCAGAGCCTTCAAGGTATTCAGGGAAGGCTCAAGAAAAAATATTGAATGGACGTTTGTACTACTAATATATTTATTGAATATTTTTTATGCTGTGAGTAATGGAACACTACACTAGTAATAATTTCTAGATCAGTGTTATAAACTTGGACTGATATTTTTTAGGAAACAAAGGGTTAATATAATGGAATGGACCAATCACATTTTTTCTTCCAATGGTATCTGGGTAAATCAGTTACTGGGTAAATCAGTTACTCCAGCACTGAACTAAAGAAATAAGCTCAGCTCAGAGTCGGTGCCCGCGGGCTGAACCCGCGGCCGGGGCCGGAACAGGAGCCCGCGGCCGGGCTCGCGGCTCGCGGAGGCTCGGGCACGTTGCACCTCACGTGGTCAGAAAAAAGTGAAAAAAAGTGTAAAGAAAAGACGTCAAACTTAAAGAAACGCTCGCGTTGGACTTTTTCAAAATAAAAGACAGTGAGAAACAGACGTTTACAATAAAATAAATAAAAACTGCGTTAACGGCGTTAAAATAATTGTCGGCGTTAATGACTTAATTAGTTAACGCAAAGTTAACGCGTTAACGTGCCCTGCCCTAAATAATAATAATAATAATATATCTCAACTGCAACCCATGTCCAACCAGGAAATTATCAAAATGTTAATTTGCTGATGATTAATAATTTATAATAACAATTAAAAGAACTGTACTTTTACAGTAAAAAAGTTATTACAATCACAACTGAGTTGCCAACTCAGTGTCATCTTAAGCTTTGAGTGCCTTGAAGGTGGTTTCTATAGAAAAATGTGACCATTTACCATTTAGGATTTTTTTTTTTAACTTACAACTTTTCACAGAATCCGCAATTGACTCTCGATCCAGAGAGACGTCACTCTGAGTCTCCTGCATCTGTAAAATGTATATAGTATTATTGTATTGCATTATGTCTAGCATTTTATTTTACTGTAAATATGACACATTCTTACCTTGATATGCTTTTTAAGGTACTCAGCTCTGGTCATGAGGCTTTTAATCTGGTGAAACATTACAGATACATACAGTATTAGCTATGACAAATAGAAGTTTGGGAGTAGGGCAATGGGGGTTAAAATTACTAAAGAGTGAGTACACTGCTGCTTAAAAAAACTATAAATGTTTTAGTAAATATTTATTGTGACCACAGGGTTTCAGTAGCCA